TGGAGTAATGGATCGTATGTTCTCTTAGTTTTCGTGCCGTTGCCGTAAGAGATAGACGTGAGAAGGCCCTTGGAATTGTAATCGACGCCTGTGATGACGGCAGACCAATTGGATCGATCAAGGGAAGTTGACTCGCCGCGAACATTCACAAATTGTTGATCCACGTAACCGCTGTCGTCGTACATCATATAGATTTGACTCATGTCTGGCGAGACTGATAGTACTGTTCGGTCAAGCGCGTCAAAGGTGGCCGTGCTGTGTTGCGGGACCTCGAGGCCAACTGCACCGGCCCAGTTTGGTGTGTCCTTGTAACTGCTGGCTAGTCTCCGTTCGGTACTGATGATGTTGCCCTTGAAGTCATAATCAAGAATGGTCATCTCTCCTGACCCATCTCTGCTCTTGTGCAGCCGGTTCTTAAGGTTATGCCCCAGTGAATCCGAGGCTGATTCGCCATATATATACTGCTTGGTCATGATCTCGTTCGCGCCACTGTCGCTCATCCACGTCTCAACAGGTCTGTTTGCCGCATCGTACACATGTCGAAGCCGGAAATCCCTTGAGTCCCACTGCAGCACTGGTTGGCCAGTCACATCAGGTAAGGACCAGTGCCGCCCGGCGTCCATGCTTGCTTCATAAATGCGATGTCCCCTCATGTCGAACTCGAACGCACTCACGAGCCGCCCTAGCTGGTCTGAAACCTGAACAATATTGTTGCTGGCATCAAACCTGGATCGGCTACTTATGGTTTGACCAGAGCCAAGGTCATCAACTTGCACAATGACACGACCCAGGGCGTCGGAGTGCAGCACACGAGGCGTATTCGTATGAGCTGCTGTCTTCTTTGCCGTAGCCTTCTCCAGAAGGTCTTGCCCGTTGATGCGCGAGTCGTACCATGATGGAAGAAACTCGTGACCTTCCAAACCGCGAAGTAGATAGCCGACATCAATATCATTCTGGACGTTGGAAACGAGAACATTATCGTTGAAGTCATGGATGGATTCGGTCCAGCCTTTGAAGACCGTCTTGAAGAAAGCGTGATCCTGACGCAGAATTGCAACAATCCTGGACATGGAATCATAAATCAAGGTAGACGACGATCCGGCCTGGAGGTCGAATTTGAAACGATGCGTGTCGTCAAAGAAGGGCTCAAACTCTCTCACTGGGTTTCCCTTGTTGTCGTGGATAACCCAACCGGACGTGATCCATCGAGTACCTGCCAGAGGGCCGTCCTCAATGAGCGGTCCAGGTTTTGCCTGTTTCTTGCTTTGGATTATCCGGCCAAAGCCGTCTGAGTAGGAAATGCTGACGACTGTTCGCCTATCGCTCGGCATATGCGTGTGCTGTACGCGCGCAATGGCAACCGACGGCACAGGTGTTTTCAACTCTCTGAAACTCCCATAGTCATTGATGATGCGCCGGGTTGCTTGACCGAGCAGATCAAATGCGGTAGGACCTTTAGGTTCAGAGAGGATGAGGTTGATCTCTGCTTGACTGAGGTCTGGCCTAAACCCCTGAAGCGAGTCTCCCTCACCCGACCCTTCCTTTCCCATGATTGCTACACCTGCCACCATCCCCATGGCATCGAACGCCACTGCTGTCCGATTACCGTTTGG